AATGTTTATAATCAATAATCAATTGTTCAATATTAATTAATAACAATTAATAATTAGTTATTCACTCCTAGTTACTATCACTAGTTTACTAATTACAAATTATTAGCTCTTAATTAGTCATTAACATTAATATTAATCTATATTAATAATAGGCTAAATTATATAAAACCTTACTAAACTCCCCTTATTTTTCAATATTTAAACTTAACCCATCTAATGTAACATCCTAGTTTTAATCCCCTGATTAATTAAACCTAATTAGGATAATCAAGTAAGTTGAAGTGGTGTGTGGACAGAGAGGTTTAATAATCATATTTGATTGTATTTCAACCCTAATTATGGGTTTGGTATTAAGGCGGGCCACCCGGGCATCAAAGGGAGAAGAAAAATGAAGAGTGATGTTGCTGTGCCACACGTCGCGGTGTGGAGATCATTTACTGCGGTGCACATATACTTCTGATGTGAGGGAAGACCTCTTTATGCCATGAGCCGTGGTGCATTGTGTGTTCGTTGTGGTGTATGGCCATTTTCTACATATATCAGTCATGAAAACGAGACAAAAGTAGAGAGAAAGAAAAGAGAAATTGGAAGAGGCATGCCAAGCTCTACTAGGGTTTGCTAGTAGATGACATTAAGAGTATTTTGAAGGCTACAAACACCCAAGGTAAGTACCACACTCCTTAATCACTCCACCTCTTCCACATTTATGAGTTTATGATTAGGGTTGATAGTGAAAGTGAAATTTCAGTCCATATAGGTTATGAGTCTGAATTTATTAACTCAAATAGAGTTAATGAAAGTAGATTAGAGTATATAAATCTAGGTATAATGAGTTTTGGTGTCTTGGGTTATAAGGCACCATTAATATCCAAAAATCTCATTTATTGTGGGTGGTTGGAAGATTGTGATACCATTAATGGGAATTTAATAGTTCATTAATATTATTAGGGACTTGAGGTAATAATTAAACTCAAGGAATAGGCTCAAATTCTTATGGAGTGAATGTTAGGCAATTTAGAAGTAGAGATTGAGGGTTTAATGCTTGAGATGGTAATGTTGATGAAATTTAAGTTGGTTGATTGTAGTATTTGGCTCTTGGTTACTTATTAGATTGGAAATTCAAGCTTGAAAACTAGTAGATTGAGAGACAAACCTCTGACCTCTTAAAGATTTGAGGTAACCGGGAGGGACTCTACTTTGGGTAGTTACATATCAATTGATTAATAATTGATTTTTAAATGTGAATTGTGAATGTTAAATGTATGAGATTGATTTTCAATGTGAAATCATGTATTATTTTCAATGAGTGTATGAGAATTTGAATGTACGTAATGCTATTTTTAGCTTAAAATGCAAAATGTGAAGTCAAAAGGGTTTTCAAACTATGAACATGTTTATGCTTTTGAAAAATGAATGTGATGTTATGTAGAGGTAATTATACGTTAATGAGAAGTGGATTTTGAGATAAGTAAGAATAATGTTGAGAAAATGATGAAAACACATACTTGGATAGCACACGGTCGTGAGCCTAATGTGATTGTTGTAATAATGAGTAAATGAAAATGAAAAGTGAAAATGAATGAGTAGTTGATTATGGCATGATCAATGGCAGGAGTTTGCCTAGAGATTTAGAGTAGAGAAACATCCGCATGGTATTTAGGCTGCCCTTCGATGCACAAGGGTATAGCCTTATCCCATAGTTTGTCAATGGACTGTCTCATAGTTTATCTAGGGACTAGAACCTAGCTATCTCCACCAGTTCAATGAGGAGAATAGCTTAGGGTATGAGATACCTTAGGGATTCGAGAATGGGAAAAGCTGTGGTTTGAGAGTGAGCCTTGTGATCTTTGGCCGGGTCATACCTCATGATTGGTGAGTTTGGGTAGTCCAGTCACACAGACGGAGCCTTGATCAGTGTTATAGCCCATGGTTTCAGTCTGAGGAAATAAGAAGGATATAAGATTGGTTGATTATTACCTAAGTAAATATATGACGTGTCACACGTGTTAAGTGGTGGCAAGTCATGTGAATAATGGGTCATATTACATATATGAGAATATAGTGATAATACACCTAGTTTATGAGAGATAAAGAAGTTATTTAATGATAAATGACAAGTCATGATATATGTGAGCTTGTTTTACATACTTGGTTTCTTATGCATGTACTTAGTTTATAATGGATATATAACTGTATAGGGTAGGTTTAACCTTAGTTACTGAGTAGCTAGACTCACCTTTTTCATTTAAATCTTTTTAGGCTCTAGCTTTAGAACTGAGAGGGAGAAGATTTAGGAGGCTAGGAATTAGTATATTCTTACTGTATGCCTCTGGTTTAGACTTATTTTGTGTAATAGTATATGATGCCAATCTTAGGATGCATGCGATCATACTTATACTATTTTGTTGTTTGAAATATTAGATTTGTAATTTGGGCCTTAAGTCTTTGTTTATGTTGATATATACTTGTTACTAAGGCCAAAATACTAATGCAAGTGTAGAAATAAACATTTGAGCATGTTTTGATTGTTTTGGGTGTAAAGTAATGCCAATTTACCTTCCCCTTTATTTTTGGTAAAAAGGGGTTGAGGAGTGAATTTCTGTTTTACTGTGGTTTCAATATGTGTGACATGTTATACTGGTAGTCCTAAGTTCAATGGATATGGTTAGAGCTGTCAATTAGGGCCGAGCCCGTAGGGCCGGCCCTTTTAGGCCCGAAAAAATTGAGGGCCGGGCTTCCATTTTATCTTTAAAAATGTAAATCGGGCCTAAAAGGGCCAGCCCTTTTAGGCCCGAAAATAAAAGGGCCGGCCCTTTTAGGCCCGTTTATAATTTTTTTTTAAATTATAATATAAAAAAATAAAAGATTAAATACATAATTCAAAGAAATGAACATATTAAATGCATTCATCCATCCCTTATTTATTTATTATGATAATATTAGTTAAGTTTAATTTTTATTGTTATTCACTTTGATGTTGCTATTTGATATTAGACCTAAATATTTTAGTTTTCTTTATTGTTGTGGTGTAAATTAATTTAAATTTATTTTCTTAAACTTAATTTTATGAATAATAACTTTTTTTATAATTATAAATATATATTTTATAATTTTTAATTGAAAAAATAATTTTAAAAAAATAGGGCCGAGGCCCTGAGGGCCGGCCCTTTAGCCCTGAGGGCTAGGGCCGGGCCTTAAAAAATGGAACCCTGACATGTAATCGGGCTTATTAGGGCCAGCCCGTTTAGGCCCTGACCCTTCAAGGGCCGGCCCTTTAGGGCCGGGCTGGCCCTAATTGACAGCTCTAGATATGGTTCAGGTGTTAGGAAAGGCTTTTGGCACATGTTAAGGGTTTTGGATACCCATTTCGTGTGAAAGTGTTGAAAAGTGGTTAAAATGTGTTTGGGTGTCTAACTTCTTAGTGTAACTTGTTTTGGAAGTGAAACCTGTGCTATTAGCTAGTTCATGTAAAGAGCTTTTTGTGGACACTTAGATCATGTCATTCGGATATTGGACAGAAAATCAGGGTGGGTAAAAAATTTCTTAATTTTGCTATCAAATGACAATAGAATCAATTGAATTTTTCATGCAATATGCTACGCTACATTGGCGGCTGAGCTGTGGTGTGTGACACAGAGAGCAACACGTTGCGACGTATCGCCCTGTAACATAGCACAAGTTTTGTTTTTCAACCGTTTTTGACTCCTTTGAAATATCTCATGCTTTCGAAATTTATTTTACTCTGATATAAAGGATTTTGATTGATTTAAACTCATTGTTATTTAGAAAACTTAGGATTCCTTGCTTTTAAATTAAACCTTGGTAAATTACTCTTTGAATTAATCCTTTAATTACCATGAGTTTTATTTGTTAGTTGTGTTTAGTGGAGTGAAAATATCACATCTAACCTTTCCTTTTGTTTTTCAAAACCCCTTACTGTTAATTAACTATTATTTTTTTAGGTAAGCTAATTAACTATGATTTTATTAATATAATTATTGCCATATCATATTAATAATACAATATACATGGCACATGACATGAAAAAATATTTTTATTATTTTTTAACACAGTTTAATGATGGGTGAAATTATAATTTTTACTTTTAACACACATGACAATTCTCACATTTTTTTAGTTAAGTGATATTTTTCTTATTGTTCAAGTAAGGGAAAAATTATAATTTTATTATCTTTTATCAATTAAAATAATCTTTTATATTAAATAAATGAGAAGAAAAATATCTAAAAGTTATTATTATTGATAAAAGTCATATAAATTTCATTACCTGTTTTGTTTATTTTTTTCAAACTTTTATTTGTTTGTAGCTATTATTTTTTATTTTAAATGAAGTTTTCAATATTTATTAAAAAAAAGTATGTTCTTCTTTAGAATAACATATTTTTTTGTTATTCGTGATTTGTATAGATTCTGTTGAAAACAATTTCTGAGAAAAAAATTTTTATTTATATAATTCTTATCAATGCTTTTATAAATTTTTCTTTTCATTTGTCTCACATAAAAAGATGTTCTAATTAATTAAAATAATAAAATTATATTTTTTTAAATTATATAACTCATGAATAATTAGAATAATATCACTTAACTGAAAAAATAAGAGTTTTTTCATGTATGTTAAAAAAAATTATAATTTTACTCTTTTTTAAATTATTTTAAAAATAATAAAAATATTTTTTCATGTCAAAAACTATATTAATAAAATAATAATTAATTAATAATAAAGAGTTTTAAAAAATAAAATGAAAGGTTAATGAGATTAATTTTAAATATTGAATAATGAGAGAGTCATACGTACCCCATTCAAAATTTAGAGGGGTTTAATATATTTTAACTTTAATAATATTGATATTAATATAAGATCAATTTACTGTTCATCATAACTGTTAATTAATAATATTAATATTAATTAATGTTACTATTACTATTAATATCACTAACATTCATAATAATATTCATTAAAAAGAAACGCGCAATCTCCCAGGCCTCAAAGGCTCAAACTCATAAAGTTCAAACCCCTGCGTTCTCTGAGAACCCTAGTTTCTTCGTTTCCATACTCAGCACTGTTATCCATGGAATCCCGAGGAGTCAGGACGCTGCTACTTTTGTGTCGAGTCTAATCCCCGATTGGCATTCACACCGCAAGCTCAACCAGTTCATTACAGGTTTTGTAACTATCCTTAGAAAATGGCTCTTCCGCCCATAGAGTGCAAATACGTAACAGATGACTGTGTTCGTGAATGGAAGAGTGGCAACCCCTCTCTCAAGGTCTCTGAACCCGTCCCATTGCTACGCTTTCTCTATGAGCTTTGCTGGACTATGGTGGGTGATTTCTCTAAGTTGTCCTGCGGATAATGTATATGTTCACATGTATACATGAATATTGAAAATGTTAAATTCGGGAGGTATTTAAGGCAGTACAATTTCTTCAATTTTGGATTAAGGACTGGTTTTTGGTTCTGGGTTGCTCTCAGGTTCGGGGTGAATTGCTGTTTCCGAAGTGTAAAGTAGCACTGGATTCTGTCATTTTCTCGGATAAATCTTCGGCCGAAAAAGTAGCTTCAAATTTCGCGGATATAGTAACCCAGATGGCACAGGATGTGAGTGACTGCTCTCTTTTATTTTTGATTGAGCGATGTTCTCTTCTCTCCGTCTCTAAATCCAATCCAACTTTAATTTATTGTTTCTGCCTCAAGTCTACCATGCTGCTTCGCTGGTTGCTGAAAGAATTACTGTGATTCTTTGGAACATAAAAGTGCTTCTTAGATGGTTTTTCAAACACCAATTGCTTCTTTCCAATTGTAACATAACAGTTACACTATTATGTAACTCATCTTGATAAAAGAGCTGTTTCAAAAACAAGCAGAAATTCAAAGCAATGGCAAATGGCTCCAGATATCTCTGAAGCTTCACTTTTTTGAACAAATAGCCTTTTTTATTTACTTTTTCTTGAAGGATTATATTAATTGCATCTCAAGCTAACAACCTTAATGCTATCATAAATAGAAATAACGCAAGCGTCCATTTCATCCTCTCTTTCCGAAGTATTTTCTCGTTATTTTCGTCTTTACATGTAGTAGAGCTAGAGGAGATAGAGGAATTAGAGTAGTAAGTGGTCGCCATGCTACTGTGTAGTTTTTGGGCCCCGAGGGAGCTCTGGCCCCATCTCCTCGAACATTGCTCCCTCATCCTTCAACAGTCCTTTTAACTATTTCTCTGGCAAATGCTCAACTGCTTTAATCTTCATTTGTTGATGACCTGGGCTCTTCTCTAGAGACTTTATTGGGGATTTTTTTTGCCGCCTCAATAGTTCTCCTATGGTCCTACCACTTAGCCTGCTGAAATTATAATGAGTTTTCTGTGAGTTCTTCGCCTGTTCCGTCGAGCTGCTTATAATTCCTGACACTCACTTCATTATGCATTATGAGTGATGCTTTTTATCAGGTAGTGCCACTGCAACCCTTCTGACCGGGTTTTACACCGTTGGTGCTTTTAGTAGTTTTTTCTACTCTCAGCAGTGTAGTCGATGCTGAGTGTTATATCACCTAATTTTGTGACAAGCTTGCCAGATAAAGTTTACATGCTTCAGTCTTCATCTTGAAATGGGGACCAGGTGTTATCAAAGTGCTGTCAGTTTATTTCCTTTCTTTGCCTTGTTATGATTTATTATATAAGAAGCTACACAGCTTTAACTCTATTATAAATAGATGTAATACATGCCTCCTTTATGACAGCTTCACATGATTCCCCACCCCCCCCCCCCAAAGTATTAGATCAGTCTCCTTTGGAAATAGGAATATTGCTAGACGGAGCTTGCTAAATAAAAGTTTTTGAGTAATTGTATACTGCTCCAGCTCAACACTTCACAAGTTTTCTTAACACCCCCCACCCCCAAAAAAAATACTTTTCTCCACGAGAAATTTCTATTAAGCGTGTTTTCCCTCCGGCTGCTTATAATTCTTGACATTAATTCTCGGCTGCTTATAATTCTTGACACTAATTCTCTCAGAGGGAGTTTCAGGAAACTTTTGAGATGTTTTATTTTTATATTTATTTTATCTTTGCGGTAGAATACCATCATAGGCATCTTGTTTGCATAGGATTGCCAAGTGGTGCCTGTAATATTTTTAGATTTTTAGTGGCAAACTATAATGTTTTAGACCTTGTAAGAGTCAAATAAATTACGATATTGCTTTCTTGTTCTTTGGTAGTGCTTTGAAGATGCCATTGCAGGCTGTTGTACCACAGCAATAATGAAATAACTTCCCCCCTTTTATAACCCCTTTTCTACAAATGACATGAAAATTTCCTGGTTGCTTGAGCTCCCTCCCCTTGGAAATTTATCGCTGATTACTTTTTTTTTTTGGGTAAGGGAGAATGAATTATGAATTAGTTTTTAAATCTTGATTGATGATAATTCTAGTACTATTTTGTTATTCAGTGCACTTGCATAAACTTACCTATTCTCTTGGTTACAGCATACGATGTCTGGGGAGTATCGCACCCGTCTCATGAAACTGGTCAGTATTTGATTTGATCTTGTGACACTTTAAAACTCTTGTTTCATCTAAAGAACAAAGATGTTCCCTAACTGGGTTTTTATAGGCTCTTAATGACCCTGATTTCTTATTTTCTTAAAGTAAAAAATGGGCTTCTGATGTCATGGAAGTTTGACATAATTTACTCTGTCACCTTTGCTTTAATGCATATAATTCATTGTTTTAGGCAAGATGGCTTGTGGAATCTGAAGTGGTCCCAATTAGGCTACTCCAGGAACGTTGTGAGGTGTGCTTTGCTTTTGCTGCCTGTTTCTAGTAACTCAACTTTCCTTTCTATTTTGAGGCTTCTGGTGATAAGTTCAGGTGCCTTACTAATGTTTAATTTGATGTGTTTACATTATTTTATTTGAATGTTATGCATTTGTAGGAAGAATTTTTGGGGGAGGCTGAACTGATCAAAATAAAGGCTCAGGATTTGAAGGGAAAAGAGGTGAGTAGATGGTCCTTAGAAATGATATGGTCTATGATTAAGGTCTTAGGTGATCGCTATATCTTCCGTTTCTTAATTTGTGTTTTTTTGTTGCCAATGTGAGACATGCATCCCTGTACGGTCAAGTGGTTAGGGGGGAAGTGTACATGTTCACAGGTTGCATGTAGGAATTGAGGTTGATAGTGATTGAGGTTTTAACAGGCCCAATGGTTACATACTATTGAGGTTTGTGCGTAGGTACATTATACTTGTTAGGGGCATAACATTGATTGGGTTGTCATTTATCCATCTATCACAGCTAATATTTTTCCTCTTGAACATATAAATGCTGGAAGTGTAAATTGAGCCCTTGTTACTCTTCTCTTATGTTTACGGGTCTTATCTTTTCTTTCCTTGAGCTGGCTAACTGTTGCTTATCTTTTGTGGACTTGGGTTTTTCTTCCTTGGCCGCTCTTAGCCAAAAAATATAATATTATTACACATTTAATGTCCTTGATTGCTAATCTTATGCTCTTTTGGTCCTCATCTTGCTTGCATCAAATATACAGGAGCTATCTATCAGCATGAACCAATTAATCTTATGTGTATGAATTTCTGAGCTGTTGATTTCAGGTTAGAGTTAATACACGGCTTCTTTACCAGCAGACCAAATTCAATCTTCTTAGAGAAGAGAGTGAAGGCTATGCAAAACTGGTATAAGCTTAGGGTTTTTTCTTTTATGAATTTTTTCCTGATTATAACTATGAATCACTCGTTACATGCAACAATTGAGGTTCTGTCTAAAGATTATTGTGCTGTACTTCTTCTTTCCTCTTCTCATCTAGGTCTGGTAAAGTCACCTTTAGCCGGAAGTATCTTTAGAGTATTGAAAATAAATTACCTCATCTGGGTCTGGATTGGGATTGTGGGAACCAAGGAGCCAATTGATTTGGTGACTGACCAAATATATAAAATCATGGCTCTCATGAATTAGTTTGAAAATCATTTTAAATTATTTTTAAGAGACATCAGTAACTGATATATATCTACACTAGCTACTGAAATGGAATCAATGCTTCCTTTCTGTGGCGGGCTTATGCTGAGAAATGTTCGAGTTTCTATTCCATTGGATGCATGCCACTTTGCAAGCACGTATGCTTTCAGCTTTGTTGTTATAGTTGCCAAAAAAATCGTTTTTTGTGATGTTTTACTTTATCTATTTCACAAATGGATAAAGAAAAAGAAATCAAGCTTCAAAATCTTATATTTGGAACTTGGATATATTAGTTGGATCAAATCTTGATAGTTTCAGATATGATGCTATTGTATGTTGCATTATATTTCTGTAAACTCTACAGGTCACCCTTCTTTGCCGGGATACTGAAGCTCCAACCCCCAAAGCAGCTGCAGCTACCATTGGCATTATTAAGGTTTTAATGATTTTCAAGTGCCATTACCATTCCATTACACTTTATCAGTTTATGGTCAAAGTCCTGATTTACTTGACCCCTGCAGTCATTAATTGGCCACTTTGATTTGGACCCAAACCGTGTTTTTGATATTGTGAGTTGCTTCTCCTCTTTTCTCTTTTATTGCGCACTACTGTCCATGTTCTTCTGTTGTCGTTGATACTCTAAATGGTTTGACGACCAAGTTAGTCATGGCTTCTTTTAAATAATTCTATTCAGGTTCTTGAGTGTTTCGAACTTCAGCCTGATAACAATGTCTTCTTAGAGTTGATTCCTATTTTTCCTAAGGTAGACAGCATCAACCTAGTTTCATGCCTGGGTTCATCATTTGATAATGAATCTGAAGATATTTATGTTTTTATGTGTTCTATGCAGTCTCATGCTTCCCAGATTCTTGGATTTAAATTTCAATATTATCAGCGGATGGAAGTCAGCAGTCCTGTACCATTTGGGCTATATAGACTGACAGCCTTGCTGGTGAAGCAAGAATTTATTGATCTTGATAGCATGTAAGATTTTCTGCTAGCGGTTTGTTGATATGTAATAGTAGTCCAATGTCTGAATGAATGCTTGTTTATGCAGTATGTGGTAATAGCCTTGAATGATACTTAAATGAGCCATTCTTTTTTGATGATTAACAACAAAATCACTCTTTATTGTCTGAGTTTTGCTATTAACTTTGTGGTCCAAAACAGAGAATGGAATATGCCTTGCATATTTGTAGCAAAAATTATGTTGTATTTTGGTTTAGGTCAAAGGCTGTGTGGACTGACTCAAACAATTTGTGTTTCGGTAGGCCTTTTTGGAGTTTAAGTTTATTGGCTAGTACTTACAACTTGCCAATATTATCCCAAGGCCTGGGTTGGCTCGAAGAATGGAATGAATAATAATAAATCTATGGATATATGATGACACTTATACCCTTACATTTTAAAAAAATTTGTTTAACATATAAAGGCTGATGAGTGATGATTGCATGGGTAAAATAGGCATTACACAGTTTCCCCTCTCTGATTCCTTTGCCATCCCGGAACCAAACAGACCCTGATTTTTTATGAATATTATTTCTTCGAAGCTGTTGCTGTTTCGCTATTTTAGTCCATCTTGCCCAATCGTCATTTCCTTGATCAACTTTAAACACTCTTCTGTATTTTAAGTGAACTATATATCTAAAGCTTACTCTAATATGTCTTTTTTACACTTATACCGTCACAAAATCAGTCCTTCATCTGAATAGCATTTTGCTATAATTTGGGGTGGATACAACAACAACAACAACAACAACAAGCCTTTATCCCACTAGGTGGGGTCGGCTACATGGATTGCAAGACGCCATTGTGCTCTATCATTTATCAAGCTTTTAGGAATATTATTAATTAACAGATCACGTTCAATAACTTCCAAAAGTGTTCTCTTAGGCCTTCCTCTACCTCTCTTAATCGGACTCAAAGTTATATGTTCTACTCTTCTCACTGGTGCCTCCCTTGGTCTTCTTTGTACATGCCCAAACCATCTCAATTGATTTTCTACCATTTTTTCCTCAATAGGTGCCACTCTCACTTTTTCGCGTACGTGCTTATTTCGAATTTTATCTTTACGTATATGTCCGCACATCCATCGTAACATTCTCATCTCTGCTACTCTAACTTTATGCTCTTGCTGTCCCGTTAGAGCCCAGTATTCACTACCATATAACATTGCTGGTTTGATAGCAGTGCGATAAAACTTTCCTTTAAGTTTATTAGGCACCTTACGGTCGCAAATAACTCTTTTAGCTTTTCTCCAATTAAACCACCCAACTTGAATTCTATGTGAAATATCTCCACTGATTTTGCTATCATTTTGAATAATGGCTCCCAAATATCTAAACTTTTCCACTTGAGGTATAATTTGATCTCCCAATTTCACTTCCAAATTATTGTCGAATAGTCCTTTACCAAATTTACAATATAAATATTCCGTCTTACTTCTACTCAGACGAAAACCTTTCGACTCTAATGTCCTCTTCCATAACTCAAATTTGCAATTAACCTCTTCTCTTGTATCTGCTATAAGAACTATATCATCCGCGAAGAGCATACATTTCGGAATTTTCCCTTGATAATTAAACAAATTTGTTCAGGTTCTAGACTTAAGCTAACCTCAATTGTTCTTTGCCTCACAACAAAGGTGGGGATTGAAAATTGCATGTTCCATTAATAGAATGCTTTGTTGAACAGTTAACAATTCGTTGTTGTAACTCAAGACATTGAACTGTTCAATTTAGTGTAGAATACCTGGGATTGTGTAGGATACTTAAAGAGTTTGACGTGCAGGCTACAGTATTTCGGTGGATAATGAATTATTGAACCTGTAGTTCTTACACACATTCTTTTGACCTAAAGAATTGCTTTTTTATTTTATTTTGCAACATGCAGCTACAGTTATTTCATGTAATTTTAGGACCTGAATTTCATCTTGTTTACAGATATGCCCACCTACTTCCCAAGGATGAAGAAGCATTTGAGCATTATAACATATTTTCTTCCAAGCGCCTTGATGAGGTATTATGGTCTGACAGTTTCCTGAGGATATTCTTGTCTTCATTATGCAGGAATGATTGCAACAGTTTTATGATTGATAAGTAGGCATATAATGCTGTGGTATGTTGTGTAGTGGCTTATTATTTTCATTTGTTAGGCAGTCTTTTTAGAGTTAAGTGGTGGACTTAAGACTTGGGATCCCCACCTATCAGTGGTGGCATGGTGCGGAGGCAGTAGTTTTTTCTGGAGTGTTCAGAGGTGGCCGTTTTCTGAAATCTTAAAAATTAATAGAAATAAATGTGAACATGACTAAAATAATTGATACAACATTAAGCAGGACCTAAATAAATCATTGTTGATTTGGAATTCATGTTGAATTGCTAAAAGTCCAAGAACAGATTTTTTTTTTTCCTTAAAAAAATTATTTAGAGCTAACATTTTTCATTTACTTCTATCATAATTGGACTAATAGGCTGTTTGAGTTGATGGTTGGGGCCATGAAGCAAAATTGTGTTTGACTAATTGGCTATTAACCTGATGGAGGGTTTGGTAGTTGAGACATGCAATTTGTGTAGAAAACTAAGGCATTGATATGAACCCATTATCCAGAAGAATTAAAAAGCAATAGTTTTTGGTTGAGATGAGGAAGGTTTCAGGATAAAACTAAACGTGATAGAGCTCATGATTTTACTAAGACCTATAAGAGGAAATCAAGGAGGGCAATGAGCTTGGTAGATGTTAGAGCTCTGCACTAAAGTAACTAATAGAACCAAGCTTTCAATGCAAAGAGAAATAAATGAGGGAAATTCTGAGGTTTTTGATATTAATGCATATGAACTGAATCAGTGTTACCAGAGAAACTCACTGATTCTAGCCAAAACCCTATTCCCAACAACTGAAATTACAAACTAAATGGAAGAACACAGCAACAAGAAAAGGTCTCTCACTGGTGTTCGAGAGACCAGCACTCTCCTTACTTCTGTCTAACTTCTCTAAAACATCCTTGAGTGCCAACAAAAATAATATAGCCAAATAAAGCAAGCAAAAAGGTGACTTCAATATCGAGACTAAATCTAAGCCACCCTACCAAAACATCATGGCATAATCCTTCTTTTCTGGACCCTCAGGATATTAATCCTAACCCAATGGGTATTTCCTTTCTACACCCAACTGCCCCCTTGATCTCCTCTTATAAGTCTGACCATATCTCACGGTCACATCAGTAGATAACATTATTGTTGGTTCAGATGTTTGCCCTTCGGATCCTGGTTATAAGGAAAAAGGTAATTGATGGCCTAATGATGTGTTAGAGTCTGCTGGCAGTTTTTTTAGGAATCTAATAGAGTTGCCTTATTTGATATTCTATACTGCCTCAGCAAGATTTGGTTCACTCTCCCGAATGAATGCAGTTAATGATTCCCCCCCCCCCACTTATTTCCTTCTTCAAATAGGTTGGTTTGGTTAAACAATCTAGATATTCTTATGCTTGCCTAGAATATAAATTGGGTTAGTAGGATACTGCTGCAGACTCTGAAAAATATAGGGAAGCGGACACCCCAAGTGGCTTCTGTTTTTTGCCATTTCAGCCGAGGTTCATGTAGGGGTATACCTTGTTTGGGCCAACTCTGTCTTGTTGGATGTTGGGACCTTTGTGTTGCATCACCTTGCTCTGTCCCTTACAACAATGACCTGACATTGCTACAAATGATGTTTAGGCAGTTGAAGGTTGTTTATAAGTCAGCCAAACTAACTGGCTTGGCTTGTGAAAAATTTAGTTTTTTTTTAGATTTGAACGAATTTAATTGAATCCTTACCCAGGGTGGACATTTGATGTTTGAGGTATGAGTGATAAAATTGTTTTTATGTGAGTATTACTAGCTGTTTCTACTAATTGTATTGTTATTTCTTTTCTTATGCTATATGGGCTTGTTGAATTTTAGAAGAGGTTGACAATCTTATTACAGGCTAACAAAATTGGAAGAATAAACCTTGCTGCTACTGGAAAGGATTTAATGGATGATGAGAAACAGGGGGATGTCACTATAGACCTCTTTGCTGCTTCAGACATGGAAACTGAGGCAGTTGATGAACGAGTACCTGAGCTTGAAAATAACCAAACGTTGGGCTTGCTGACTGGCTTTCTTTCGGTGGATGACTGGTATATCTGTTAAGCTAGTTGTAGAATGTCTGCTCTATTGGCTTTTACAAGTTTTTTTCCTCCCTTTATTGGGTTAGACTTTATAAGATTCACTATAAAAAATAGATGGTCCTCTACTTTCACATATTTTGTATACAATGTTAAAGAACCTCTTAATTGGGCAGCGTTAGCTATTGTATGATGGCGGAATGATGAATTTTAATCTCCTAGCAGTTCGGTTAAAAGAAATCTCCTAGCAGTGATAATGATGGAATCAGCTTGTTTTTTTCCTGGATGTTTTTGCCATTCTTCTGTATATTCCAAGGCATATTTGTACCTATCCAAAAAAGGCCTGCTTGTAGAGCATTGCAAGGGTCTTATGCTATTGTATTGGCTAAAATTTCTAATTGTATACTGACACAGTCTGTAATTTCATTGATGACGAGATAAGTGATTGTACTTGATATTCTTTGAATTTTTGTGCAATATTCGGTTTGGTTCATGATTTGATTTGTGGATGAAATAGAGCTTTCTCTGTTGAATGGTACTTTGTCTTGATAGACTTTCTGTTGGCAAACATTCATTGATCGGATCTTTTGCTTTATATTGTTTTCACAGGTATCATGCACATTTTTTATTTGATCGTCTCTCACTTCTCAATCCAGTGGAACATACTCAAATATGTGACGGTTTGTTTAGGTAAAGATTTTGTAGTCTTTTTTTTTTTTTGTGCTTTGCTGCTCCTATATTGCTATCATAAGCACAGATAAGAGATAACATGCATATTTGGTTGGATTACCTCTAATGTTAGGACCTTGTTCTCTAAAATTCATTTATGATGTATATCTTTTCTGATCAAGCATTTATTATGCTTTAAATTGCAAGTGCTTTTGGAGCTTAAATCGTTCTGCTTTCCCTTGTTTTATGGTCTCCTTAATATTTGGGTGATCCTACAGGCTTATTGAGAAATCAATTTCTTCAGCCTATGATGCTGTTCGTCAAGCACATCTTCAAAACCCTGGATCTTCTTTGAGAGGAAGCAATGATGCTATGGATGTAGAAAATTATTCCGGGCATGGTTCTTTCATAGACCTTCCAAAGGAACTTTTTCAGATGCTTGCTTGTGTTGGACCTTATCTCTTCCGTGATGCTATATTGCTGCAGAAGGTGCCCTGCTTTGTTTTATTAGTCTGGTTACTTCATCATTTTAATATTCTAATTACTTGATGCTCTTCTTCTGTGAGTAGGTTTGTAGGGCATTGAAAGGTTATTACCTTTCTGCCCTTCAGCTGGGAAGTGGTGGTGAAGTTGCCCTGAATCCTGAACCTAATGTGAATAGAAATCCTCGATTACACCTCAAGGAAGCTAGGCTAAGGGTGGAAGATGCTTTAGGGACATGTCTCCTACCTTCTTTGCAGTTGATTCCTGCCAATCCAGCAGTCGGGCAGGAAATTTGGGAACTTATGAGTCTTCTTCCTTATGAGGTTGGCCTTTATGCAGTTTTCTTTCTTTACATGGTGGGCTTCAACCCATGATCAAATAACTTGGTTATTGAATCTGATATGTTTAGGCTCGATATCGTTTATATGGTGAATGGGAAAAAGATGATGAACGCAATCCTATGCTCTTGGCTGCAAGACAAACTGCCAAGGTTGGCAATCTGTGCTAGTTTTAACGTAACTATTATTGTTGGAAGTTTGATTCTCTGTTAGCTTCATTCTTTATTTTTTTTCCCTTGCAGTTGGATGCCAGAAGGATTTTGAAACGGCTAGCAAAAGAAAATTTGAAGCAGCTTGGTCGGATGGTTGCAAAATTAGCTCATGCTAATCCTATGACTGTACTTCGAACAATTGTTCATCAGGTGGTGATTTGTTATCTTGAATTCTGTGGGTAGATCTTTCTGTTACAAATATTATTTATTCTAGTATGCTAATTTTCAAATTTTTTTCTAAATTCAGATTGAGGCTTACAGAGATATGATTACTCCTGTAGTGGATGCATTCAAGTATTTGACTCAGGTGTGAATATCCTGTTGCACTCCCTGTCTGATTTCATTGTGGCTGTTTCCATTGGTGCCATGCACCAAATCACCAAATCATGCTGATGAATATGTCCGGCAATTTACTTTTTTCTATTTTAGATATTAACTATAATTTCATAAGAAGATATGTGCAAAATTTCCTAATTTCATGTTTTTCAGATGCAGCACAGCAGTGGCAAATATTTGAAATTAATGTATCAAATTTAGGTTGTGTGTTTTAAAATTTGATCTGCTATCACTTAGTATCTACATGGACGCTCTGGGCTTTAATTCCTAATAGTTGATTGGTGGGATCGATTTTGATTTTATTTACTACGAATTTCTTACATCTTTTATTTTTAATGACTGAACCTAAAATTGTTTGTTGGGAAAAAAGTAGAACCAGAGAATGCTTGAAATTTTTGAGGTTATGAAACAACATTTTGGAGCATTCAATAGTTGTAGTTTGTTCTTTGTAGACTGACGGTGATATGGTAGGATTCCATAGCTCATTTGGCAGTATAATTTGGCTTCTTTTGCATAGTTGTAAGATGTTCTACAGTCACATGCAACTGGAGTGCCCATTGTCAATTTCACTTGTGTTCTATACTAATTAAACATGAACATCTCATGATGAGACTTTCACACCTAATCGTGTAGCCAAAACATAGGAGAGGAGAAAACAAGTGGAAGTGGAGAAAAGGGGAGATGGAAATGGTGTTGGTGGTCCGACATGAGATATAAAGGGATATACCTGGAAAAGATAGAAAGACCTGAGTGAAGAGAGGGATTTCAGGACAATGGTGACAGACTGACAGTAGCAGTTGGACTGAATTATTTTTAAAGGAATGAACTGATGGAGGAAAGGGGGAAGAAGTCTGTGAAGGGATCTTGGGAACTAGCTCTCCAAAGCTAGGAACCATGTTTTTCATCTTGTTATGTGCTTTTGAGGAGTTTTGGCTGTTATATTAATTTTTTGTGCTGGTGAGGTGAGCGTGTTGTGTTGTGCTTAGTAGTGGATGTGAATCTTTAACTGTATGTGAATCTGAAGTTATCATGATTTTTTGTTGCGTGACTTCTGTGCCAGGATTATATTCTTCTGCAGTAGAAGTTCCTCTGTTTTGGGCTATGTTCTGACTGTTTGGTTGTGGTAGTTGGTTGCTATCTTTTTACAAGAATGTAAAGCATTTTTTTCATCGTATTTATTGGTGTCCTTTTACCTTTTTTTTCTTTGGCATTGGTAATCTTTGCTTTCAAAGCTTTTTTAGCACGGTTTGACAGATTTTGAATTTAACTGTGTTAATTTTCTTGAACAGCTTGAGTATGATATACTGGAATATGTTGTGATTGAACGCCTGGCACTTGGAGGACGTGATAAGCTAAAGGATGATGGTCTTAATTTGTCAGATTGGCTTCAGTCGTTAGCTTCATTTTGGGGCCACCTGTATGTATATGTTTTATTTTCATCTCCACGCTCTCTGGATGATTGAGAGATGAGGGTTGCTTTGTCTTTTGCTTGACAATACATGAGCTGATTATAGAAATTTTGGTTATAATGCCTTTCCGTTTGCTCACTAAAATGTTTATTTTAATGATTTGTTAAACAACTAATTGAGGCTTATCCTTTTATTGTTTTGCCTGCTTTTCCATGTCTTGTGTGATATTTGTATGTTACCCCTTTTCTTGCAGACGGTTTTTATTTTGACTATTCTGTCTCTATACTCATGTGAATTTCATTGTTTATCAAGCATTTTATGCCTTCACCCCATCGTAGAGAATTTACATTTAGATACATCCGGGGTGCCTTGTATCAAATTCCAGGTTGCAGATCAACCTTAGCAAATGCAGTATTACTGGACATTGCAACTTTGTGTCCTTGACTGGTGAGGTCAGAGCAATCTAAACCAGTTGCCAGGCATGCTCAGACTGCTGTATGATTATGGTTATTGGGATTTGGTGGCACCTTTTTTGGAATGGAAAAATTTGATATTCATTGAAAGGATGCACTATTCATCCTTTTGAAGTCAAGCTGTTAACCTCTTTTCCTTTCCGTCTGTAAGGCAGATTAAAAAGATGGGAAGTTCTGTTAAAGATATACAAGTGACTTTTCAGATGCAATTGCGTTAACATTTCTGATGGCAAATTGTTGGACCTTAGTAAAGTTTTTTATTTTAGTAATTAAGTTGGACCTTGGTCTTCCTTGTGTAGTGTGGGAAGTTCATGTGCCTTGCAGACACAATTAGTTAAAGGAGGCAAATGGTAATAGATTGAACATGTAGTAAATGCATGAACATCAGTTGGAGTCATCCAGATTCTTGAGGTCTGAGGGATGATCTGTGGCGTATATCTAGGATCTAAAATTTTTCATGATTTATGGCCGTGTGTAAGTTTAATGATGAAATGACTGGTTATAGCATTTTGTGGAGTGGTTATGTTCCTTAGTGAGGCTGATCCTAATTGCAAGCTGGAGGTTAGCCATTCTGTATATGCATATTTTATGCTGAACCTAAAGAAGTTAGGGTGAGGAATTCTTAAGCCGTTGCCCAGGTGGAGAGGGCAGAGCCTGAACTACTGACTTTGGATGGTTTCTCTGTGATGATTGATATATCCTGAAATCTTACTACTACCAAGAGATGTGCTCCTTTTTTTTCGACGAGTGCTCGGTCCTGTCACCTTTGTGTTGGACTAATACTAGGTAGGTTTGAATTTATCTGATGGAAGTTCAACTGGTTGTAGCTCTCTTGAAAGAGGCGTAATCTGTTAGCTATTGCTTTCTTCTCGATGATGATGGGAACTTCAATATACCATAGGTGTTCTGTCTTTTAACTTTTTCTGAAGCCGTTTACTGCCTATATCTACGGACATAATGGGATAACACTCTTAGATAATAGACACTTTCTTCAAACACAAGGTGTGCAGTCAAAGAACAACTTTTCATTTGGTCATATCATCAGTAGGTTGTCTGATGATTGATCAACAGGGATTCAGGACAAGGTGGTTGATGATTGCTCTGTCTGTGTAGCTGACATGACCCTGCCTGCTGATGAAATGATAATGTGGAATTTTCGTAATAACTGTTGTTACTAGGATATACACTTCAAAAGGGAAGAATGATATATTTATGGGCTGCGTTATATATGCTGAAGATACCTGTTAAAATTCTGAACAACTTTGGGGGCTGTTACTCCTCACAGAATACCTTTTTGCATAGGAGGAATGTGGAGTGGAATATCTGGAGCAGTTTGGTTTGATTTTCTTCTCTCTCCCTCCATACATTTCCTCTCTCTTGATTTATGTAGTAGTTTAGTTGTGAGTAATAATATACTATAGATTGAAGTTTGCAGGTGCCTTGTATCAACTTTCTGTGTTTTTTTTTTTTTTTGGTTGGGTTATGCTTTTGCTGAATGGGTTTATGGGGTAGCTCGTTTGACTATTGAATAGGTTCTTATGTATTTACCGGGAATATGTTAGTTTCTTGATGTTTTGATGAATGGTCTGTTCCACGGACTCCGCCTTAACATTAAATACTGACGCATATGTGATATTTTGGCAGCTTTATGCTACTGTTGTGCAACTTTATTGTTGATGTAAAGTATTCATTGCACTGTTGTTCCTGAAACTGAACGGCATTTAACACTAATTTACTAAGTCTTTGAGTCATCTTGTGCTATTCTTGTACTCCATTAGCTTTAATTGCAAACAAAGTTTTATGTTCAACTGACCTCTCCTTGAGCCTTTAATTATCATACTTGCACTCCGTTCTCTTATCTCCAAATATGCAAATAGCTAGTTTGAAATTTGTTAGTGAGACAATGGAAGTGCGAGAAAAGAGGTATGGGTTCAATCACTATTTTTTTAGGTTGCGTTCCCTTTGTGACTATTTTAATAACAAATTTGTACAAGGATAGTACAACTAGTATAGGCCCAACCTGGTAATTGCTTGTGCACATTCTTTAAACAAGTCACACCATGCTATGCTCTCCCTCAATTTGAAGACCTTATAAGAACACCAAAATATAGACTTAGATAACTAGATATTGATCCCACGCTCTTAATTTTTCCTTTCAATAACTTCAGAAAATGATGCAGGAATGACAAGAAAAGCTGTGCAAATGACTATAGCGGTGAAAAAATTGAAAATAAAAATTAAACATGCGATTTTCTGGTCTAAAATATTCATTTTTTTAGTTGTTCAACTTCAAAAAATAGAGAAAATGATAAAGTATATTTTTGATTCAAAAAATCTCTTTGGGTTGTGAATAGGGTATTCAATATTTTTTTTCCTGTTTCGATCTAATGTGCTGAAATCATGGATGGCATAATGGTGACTTTAAACTTTGGTCTGGAGAGAGAATTGTCATTCAATTCATATATGGCTATGGAAGGCGGATTCCATTGAAGGTTGAAAACCTATTTCCTCAGAGAAGCCAACACCTATGTATCAAACAAGCTTCTTTTGCTTTCCATTTGCATTTCATTCTCCTCATTAAGCTTTTATAACATTCTAAAGGGCCAAAATGCTCATCTGATTGTTGCGGGTTGCTCATTTAAGTCTGACTCTATTTACCTCTTTGCAGCATCACATGGTTTCTCAACTATTTAGACATGGTCCAAGTTTCTTTTTCTTCCACATTCTTTCACTTGGTGATTGTCTGTAATAATGATTGGAATGTTTCTTTTATGTTCATTTTTTTATTTGTTGATGTTATTCTTTATCATTAATACTTTTATTTTTTATTTTTTGGTGGTGAATGAAGTGGGAAATATGTGAATACAATTGTTACTTCAAAAGGGCACAATTTTCATGAAATGCTTGATTGAACTTCTTAATGATTTGTGTATTGCAGGTGTAAGAAGTATCCATCAATGGAATTGCGGGGCCTTTTCCAGTATCTCGTGAATCAGTTGAAGAAAGGTCAAGGAATTGAGCTTGTACTTCTGCAGGTTTCTTGCAGTCTACTTTCTTTTTTAAATATATTGTTGATTGTTGATAAGGATTGTTCATAGTCTGTTCATATTCAAAAAATATAATGTATGTTATTTTAATGGGCTGCAAAACTGTCCAATTGATGTGTATATGCGTGTGTGTTCAGGAATCATGATTAAGATTTTTACTCTTAACTGATTTTCTGACAAACTTGCATAGAAAGTTATTTAATGGTGCAAGACAAATTTTGGTTGGATTAGAGTCACTGGATTCCCCTCTCTCTCTCCACACACACACACACACACACACACACACACACACAAACACACACACATCCATATACACACCCAACATGTAAAGTAGCCAAATGCATTGAATAATTTTTGGAATGGCTTTGTCAGGAGCTCATCCAACAAATGGCAAATGTCCAATATACTGAAAACTTGACTGAGGAACAGCTGGATGCTATGGCGGGGAGTGAAACTCTCAGATATCAGGCAACTTCTTTTGGAATGACTCGAAATAACAAGGTACATATAGTACAGCTTAGCAGCATTCAACATGCTCAAATTTTTATTGGGGTTGCCATTAATCATATTTTTTTATTGGCTTTTTATCTATCATGCTTTAGGTTTTCTAATTGAATTTATCTTTCTGAAATTATACCTAGTTTTAGGCTCTAAGCTTAAAGGGGATATCAAATTGTCAATGCAGGCTTTGATCAAGTCAACTAGCAGACTGAGAGACGCATTACTTCCCAAAGATGAACCAAAGTTGGCAATCCCCCTCCTATTGCTTATTGCTCAACACCGTTCGCTGTAAGCTATTCAACTTATGAGTGCTATAATTTACGCCCAATACTTCCCCCCTTAGTTTATTTTCTTTGCAGGGTTGTCGTCAATGCAGATGCACAATACATTAAGATGGTTAGTGAGCAGTTTGATAGATGTCATGGAACACTTCTTCAATATGTGGAGTTTCTTTGCAGTGCAGTGACACCAGCATCAACTTATGCTAATCTTATTCCTTCGCTCGATGAGATAGTCCACCTGTATCACCTGGACCCAGAGGTTTGTGCGCCCTTTGATTGTATGTTTTATATACTTCTACTTGTTCTCATTAAAATTACTCCCTGGTTGTGTCATTAGTTCCATCTTTGTGTGCTTCTTAGCGGTAGTATTTATAGTGCATCATTCTTTACTTGAACTTTCATTTATGGTTTTTCTTTTTCGCTGATGTAGGTTGCTTTCTTGATATACCGTCCTGTGATGAGGCTTTTTAAGTGTCACAGGAGTCCGGATGTATGTTGGCCTCTAGATGATGTTAATGCAACAAGTGAGGCTTCTACAAATTCTGAGACTGATCCTGTAGACCATACTGGCAGAATGGTTTTGGATCTTGGCTCAGCTCAGAAGGCTATAAGGTTGTGAGCCCAACTTTTGGTTCGATATCTCTTAAAAATTTCCTTCCATACTTTCAGGTTCATTTTAAATTGTTGAACTAATTTCTCAACTGCTTTGTTAATGTATTCAGGTGGTCAGATCTTCTTGATACTGTCAAAACTATGTTGCCTTCAAAAGCATGGAATAGCCTATCCCCTGATCTTTATGCTACCTTTTGGGGTCTCACGTTATATGATTTATATGTTCCAAAAAATCGTTATGAGTCAGAAATTGCCAAGCTGCACGCTAATCTTAAATCTTTGGAGGAACTTTCAGACAATTCAAGCTCAGCAATCACTAAGAGGAAGAAGGAAAAGGAAAGGATCCAAGAATCTCTTGATCGTTTGAGTAGTGAACTTCGTAAACATGAAGAAAATGTTGCGTCTGTTCGTAGAAGGCTGTCTCATGAAAAGGACAAGTGGTTGAGTTCTTGTCCTGATACCTTGAAGATCAATATGGAGTTTCTTCAGAGATGTATTTTTCCACGCTGCACTTTCAGTATGCCAGATGCTGTCTATTGTGCCATGTTTGTGCACACCCTTCATTCTCTTGGAACTCCATATTTTAATACCGTCAATCACATAGACGTTCTGATCTGTAAGACTCTACAACCAATGATTTGCTGCTGCACAGAATACGAGGCAGGCAGGCTTGGCAGGTTTCTGTTTGAGACATTGAAGATTGCTTACTATTGGAAGGTAATTAGTTATTTATTTTTATTTTTATTTTTACTTTCTGCAATTTTTCATTTTTATGCTGTTATTAACAGTTTCAATGGTGGTTTTATTTTTGCTTTCAAATATTTTCAGCTGATATTTTCTTGTTGCATCCTTCTGCAGAGTGATGAAACTATTTATGAACGTGAATGTGGAAATATGCCAGGCTTTGCTGTTTACTACAGATATCCAAACAGCCAACGAGTTACATATGGGCAATTCATCAAGGCAAGTTTGCTCGTTTCCAAGTGATCTGTATTTTGTCCTAGCTTTTGTGGTGTGTATCTAATCTGTGCTGTGCTGTCATTGCTCTCAATCTGGATTTTAGGTGATGTTTTTATCTTTCTGACATTCAAAGTACGACATGCTTGCCTGGACTGGAGTTCAATTTTCAGTACGTTCATTGGCATGTGTTGCTGAAATCAATGTTTCTTAATAGCTCATTCCTTTTTGTTATTTGTATATTTTTCTTCTTGAGATGCAGTAGCTAGAATCATGTAGTCAGTGGATAATTTGGCCATCATCAATCCACATGCTCACCATTTGGAGAACTTTGTTTTGCCAAGGCCATCTGACCTAGGATTATGACATCTGTTGGTGTTGTATCAATTTTTAGTATAATAGATGAAAATGGGTCTTGAATTGGTGTGGGGATTGTCTGGTATGTATTTAGTAACAACAACTTGCACAAATTTGTGAGAGCCCTGATACATGTGTTGCTGCAAGAGGCTGGGTTTGTTTAACTTTGCGATGTGATGTCTTTGTATACATCCTTTTTTGTTCTAATATCTATCTGAATTGATGGCTCATAGCAATTTCATTTGTGCTGCAATATGTGGGTTGATCCTTTTGAAGTTTGCTTTTTGGCTGATAGGTACATTGGAAATGGAGCCAGAGAATCACAAGGTTACTCATTCAGTGTCTAGAATCTAGTGAGTACATGGAGATTAGAAATGCTCTCATAATGTTGACAAAAATTTCTAGTGTTTTCCCTGTTACGAGGAAGAGTGGGATTAATCTTGAGAAACGGGTAATTTTTTATTGTATTTTTTTGTTGCTAACAAGGAGAATAGTATTGCATTTTTAACTTACTGGGTCATCAATGCAGGTGGCGAAGATAAAAAGTGATGAAAGGGAAGATCTTAAGGTTTTGGCAACTGGTGTTGCTGCAGCATTAGCTGCTCGAAAGGTTTGACATTACTTGGGCTAGTAGCTTAGATTTGTCAAGTTCTAATACAATTTATTTTATTATTATTATCATTTTTAATTTTGTAGCCTTCTTGGGTCACCGATGAAGAGTTTGGAATGGGTTATCTTGAGTTGAAACCAGCGCCAGCTATGACTTCTAAATCATCTCCGGGTATTTCAACAGCCGTACAAAGTGGGACTGGTCCAAATGTTTCTCAGATGGAATCTTCCAATGGAAAACATTTGGACTCTGGAAATACTGTCAAGGAACAACTGGTTAGAACAAAACCTTCAGAGGGTAAGTCAGAAAGAACTGAAAGCTTTCCAGCCACTAAATCTGATTCTGTGCATGTAAAACTCAAGGGTAGTTCATTGGTGAATGGACTAGATGCTCAATCATCCTTGCCTTCTGCTGGACATTCTGGGACATCAAGAGCTGTAGAAAACCAAAAGCAAGTAGATGAATCCACAAACAGATCATTGGATGAAAACGTGACCAGAGTGGCTGAGGTATCCCTTAATTTTTAAGCTGCTCAGTTAGCCATCTTTATCTGTACACTCAACCTTTGTTTATGATCCAATGGTTTCACTTGCTTTCATCATTGGAGGTTTTTTATGGTATTCCATCATTGTAGGTTTTTTACGATTTCTGTGTGATAATTTGATTTTACTCTTCACAGTCAAGAACTTCAACAAAACGCTCAGTGCCTGCTGGCCCACTTTCAAAGACCTCAAAACAAGATCCTTTGAAAGAAGATGGTAGATCTGGAAAATCCATTTCTAGAACTTCTGCTTCCTCTAGTACTGACAAGGATCTACAAACGCATGCATCAGAGGGAAGACATGCTGGAACTACCAATTCTTCTTTGATGAATGTTAATGGTAGTTCTGCTTCTGCTTCTACTAAAGGTTTGGCTCCATCGGCAAGAATTTCGTTAGATTCCAGTGGTAGTGAATCAAGAGCAGATGTTGGAGCTGTCAAGTCTTCTGATATGAGGGCTTCTATGGTGAAGGATGATGGGAATGATGTTTCTGACTTGGTGAAAGGACCCTCATCTCGTGTACCTCATTCTCCAAGGCATGAAAATGTAGCTGTTGCTTCAAAATCTGGTGATAAGGTTCAGAAGAGAGCTAATTCTGCTGAGGAACCTGACAAACTAGTTAAGCGCCGGAAAGGGGATTCAGAGGCAAGAGATTTAGAGAATGAACCTCGATTTTCTGAAAGAGAGAGGCTGATAGATATTAGATTGTCTGATGACAAATCAGGACCTGATGAATTGAGTGTCTACAGGGCAGGTGATAAGCAACTGGATAGGCTGAAGGACAAAGGCAATGAGAGATATGAAAGGGAACACAGGGAAAGATTGGACCGAATGGATAAGTCACGTGGTGATGAGTTTATAGCTGACAAAGTTAAGGATAGGTCATTAGAAAGATATAGTAGAGAAAGATCTATTGAAAGAATGCAAGAGAGGGGTAATGAACGGAGTTTCAATAGACTACTTGAGAAGGCCAAGGATGATAGAAACAAGGATGATAGAAGTAAATTGCAGTATGGTGATGCAACTTCAGAAAAATCTCATTCAGATGATCGCTTCCATGGCCAAAGCTTGCCTCCACCACCCCCTTTACCACCAAATATGGTTCCTCAGTCTGTTAGTGCTGGTAGGCGTGATGAAGATGCTGATAGAAGGTATGGAGCTACAAGGCATTCTCAGAGACTTTCTCCAAGGCATGAAGAAAAGGAGCGGAGACGGTCCGAAGAAAATTACTTAGTTTCACAGGATGATGCTAAACGTAGAAAAGAAGATGATTTCCGAGATCGGAAGCGGGAGGAACGGGATGGATTGACATTGAAGGTATGAATCGGTTATGTTTTCTAATATCTACCACTCTGCGAGATCTACAACTAAATATATGCATTTTTTGGTTAGCAGACTTTTGATAGTTCTGTATAATGCACTATTATTTCATTAGGGATGTTCCTTAGTTTGATATTTTTCTGTGTTTATCCAAGAATTACTTCCTTTTATTGTTCATGGTGAATATAAGAACATGATGTAATTTGATCGTTACAATTTACATTCTCCTTGATGAGTTAGGTTACTCTATCTCTGAATTGTGGATTAAGTTGCTTCCCTGATTGATAGATATTAACTGAAAGCTCTGATAGAGGGTCCAGACTTTCTGATATAATTTCATTGTCAACACAAACATTTCTGCCACCTCCATGGTCAAACATTAGCTTGATGGATGCTACTTGTGCCTGATTTGTTGTCTATCGTTATTCTTCAAGACGATTTCTCATTGGCCTTTCCTGTATAATTCTTTCTCATGTAATTTTTCCTTCTATTAAAAGAACGATGCATAGAACTATGATGCTTTTACATACTTATTTTTATGTTTCTTTCTCGCAGCAGTCATTCTCTGTTATATGGCTGTTTATGTCCTGGATGTAGTGGTTTCTCGAATATTTTACTTTCTTCTTGTAGTACTTGAGATACTCATTTCCAGTTGTTTGATAAAAACTGACAGAAAATTAAATGCTGTTGTTTTTCTTTTATGAAGGAAGAGAGGGAAAGAGAGAGGGAAAGGGAAAGAGAGAAAGCAAACATTCTGAAGGAAGACTTGGATTTAACAGCTGCATCCAAGAGGCGTAAACTCAAGAGAGAGTATCTACCAACAGGTGAACCAGGTGAGTACTCGCCAGTGGCCCCTCCACCTCCTCCTGCTGGTATGGGTATGTCACAAGCATATGATGGGAGAGACAGGGGAGAGCGAAAGGGGCCTGTAATGCAGCATGCAAATTACATGGATGAGCCAGTTCTCAGGATTCATGGCAAAGAGGTTGCCAGCAAGATGAATCGTCGTGATTCAGATCCGTATCCTTAAGTCTGATTATGGTCATGTATTTATTTTTCCGTTAATTCAAGAATACATGGTTTATCCTTCAAGAATTGGGTTATTAGATTTAACATGCATGTTTCACCTGCATTCTAAAGGTAAAATCATTTTCTTTTTCCTTTCTGTTACTTCATTTTTCATCAGAGGAAGCTGGAGTAACTGAGGTGCGGAAACGTGTGTGGTGTTATTGCTAATAATGTCAATGCATATTAACAAAAAAATTTCCAAGTTGGAGTCCTTTACTGTCAATATAGCTTGTATGACCGGGAATGGGATGATGAGAAGAGACAGAGAGCAGATCAAAAACGGCGGCATCGGAAGTAACGGTCCAAGAAAAAGTGGGGAGATGGGAAATTCCTTGTTGAACTCCTGGAAAGTTGTTCATTTCTTGCGGCTGCTATAATTCTGTTTTGATGAAAAGAGAATACACATAGGTGGTGGGCTCACTTCCCTTTTACGTTAATACCCACCCGTTTTACTTCAAACTTGTACCAATTTTACAGCTTCTGGCCCAGTCCGCGAGGGGGAATAATGAAATATTGAATTGACTACTCCACTTGTATATAGCTCTGTATATTCTGCGCATTCATTGATCTAATCTTCTTGCCAATGCAGTGTACCATCTGAGTCCTGAGCACTTCACGGGTCCATGCCATGGCTGTAACCCCTATTTGCTTTTCTTTGTTTGGTGAAATATATCTTGAATGTTCATGATTCAAGCGACAATTTCCTTCATAGGAAGTACATAGTTTTTTTTTTTTTTGTAACTTATCAGAAGTAACGATTTACCATTTTGGAGACAATCGGTTGTCCCTAAGGCTAATTTCAATCATGCATGATGGAATAAGTTAGAATTAAGATAAATTAGGGGTTTTTTTTGGGGGGGGGGGACGCTTTACGTTATGACGTTAACTTAAAGTAAGGATTTCAAATTTTCTGTTCAAGTGATCAGTTTTATGCAGATTCCAATTTTTTTGGTGGTTTAAAGTAATTATGAATTTTATGATTCTTCAGTAAAAATTAAGTACATACAAGCCCTTGTGAAAATTTCCCATCTTTTCTATTTATTAAATTCATATCACATTTATTTTCCCTTTAAATTAATTTAACAATTAACCATTAATAAAACATGACATGTCATACAGTCAAACTTATTTTAGTGATAACAAAGTTGATAGATTTAGTCAATTGAGACACTTGCGAAATATAGCAAGAGGGCATATAATAATAAAGGATCAAGATTCTCGTTTAGCCACCAAAAAAATATTGTATAGCAATTTGTTAATGGAAAAAAAACGAAAGACCACTTGTGAATATAATTGAAGTTGACAGCGTGAATGGTTAGGATTAAAAAATTAAAAAAAATGAAGGTATTTAGTATTTACGGAGGCCCGGGGAAACGAAGAAAGAAAGTAAGAAACAAGAGGCTCGGAAGTCAGTCAAGTTGCCCATATGGTGAAGAAAAGGAAGCTGTGGGAAGCATGTAGTAATAATATTCAAAGTCAACCGTTGATACTGAGTCAACAGACCCTAGCCGCCTCGAGTACGACAACGATGACACCCAAATTCCAATCCACCAAGATAGTATTACTCTCTCTCTCTCTCTCTCGCAGTGAGAAAGAAGAAACAGGTTGGACTCTGGAAAACCCAAACCATGGCTCTTCAATTTCTCTTCCTCTGTTTCACCCTCTCCTTCCTCTCCCAAATTCATTTCTCAATTTCCCAGAAAACCATCAATTTTACTTCCTTCAATGCCTCAAACTCCCCATGGTTTCCAAACCAGAATCGCATCCTTCTCTCTCCGAATTCCAATTTCTCGGCTGGCTTCTTCCGCATTTCCTCAGATAATTACACCTTCTCCGTTTGGTTCACCAACATCCCGCGTGACCCCGTCGTATGGTCTGCGAAACTCGGTTCACCGGTCACCGGCTCCGCTTCCCTCGTTATCAACTCCAAAGGCGAGCTTCTTCTCAATAATACCCCCTTGGTAAACGCTTCGTCTACTTCCAATTCCACATCGCCCGTTCTTAGTCTCAGTGACCATGGCAGCTTGAGTTTTGGAGATTGGAATAGCTTCGCTAACCCAACGAACACCATTCTCCCGAACCAAAGTATCACAGGAATCGTGCTTCGTTCCGAAAATGGGCTCTTCAGCTTCGTCAATTCCACGAATCTGACTCTCCATTCCTCCTCTGCTAGTTACTATACCACCCCAAGCCCGTTGGTGAGTATGGACGCTCTCGGCAAGATGACTATGCAGAGTAACGCTTTTCTTACTAGCGATTACGGCGATAATCGTGCCCGGAAAATGGTTCTCGGCAATGATGGGAATCTCAAAATCTACAGTTTCTACCCCGAGCAAGAAAACCGATGGGTTGAGGTTTGGTTGGCGATTTGGGAACCGTGTAAAATCAAAGGCAAATGCGGTCCTTATGCTATATGCTTGCCTTCAACTGGTATAAATGATTCGACTTCATGTGTTTGCCCGCCTGGGTTCACGCAAAATCCAGGATGGCCGGATAAAGGTTGTGCAAGGAAAACCAAACTTACCAATAACATCAAATTTCTGAAGCTGGATTATGTGAACTACACTAACCCCAATATGCGCAGTATTTCTGCCAGAAATTTCACTCTTTGTGAATCTAAATGCAGTGCAGACTCACAATGTCTTGGGTTTGGCTACAAATATGATGGATCTGGTTTTTGTTCTTTAGTACTAGGTGAACTCCAATATGGTTATTGGTCTCCGGGTACTGAGGCCTCACTGTTTCTTAAGGTAGACAAATCCGAATCCGACGCCTCCAATTTCAGTGGGATGACAGAAGTTTTGCAGACATCGTGCCCTGTTCGAATCAGCCTCCCACTGCCCCCTAAAGATTCGAATTCCACGACTCGAAACATTGCCATAATCTGCACTCTTTTCGCTGCTGAGCTCATATCCGGCGTCGCTTTCTTCTGGTCTTTCCTCAAGAGGTACATCAAGTACAGAGACATGGCTACCACTCTCGGACTCGAGTTCCTTCCTGCTGGTGGCCCAAAACGATTCTCGTATGCCGAGCTCAAAACTGCCACCAAGGACTTCTCCAACCTGATCGGAAGAGGTGGGTTCGGCGATGTTTACAAAGGCGAGCTACCGGACCATCGTGTCGTCGCCGTCAAGTGCCTCAAGAATGTCTCAGGCGGCGACGCCGAGTTCTGGGCGGAGGTCACCATCATTGCCAGAATGCACCACCTCAACTTGGTCCGCTTGTGGGGCTTTTGTGCCGAGAAAGGTCAACGAATCTTGGTGTACGAGTACGTCCCAGGCGGGTCACTGGACAAATATCTATTTCGTCGTCCTCGGGCCGGGTCTAAGAACGGGGAACTATCTCCGGATCCGGATCCAAAGCATGACCCGAAGACGGAACAAAAACCCATCCTTGACTGGAATGTCCGGTATAGGATTGCGCTGGGCGTGGCAAGATCCATAGCATACTTACACGAGGAGTGTTTGGAATGGGTCTTGCATTGTGATATCAAGCCCGAGAACATCTTACTGGGCGACGATTTCTGTCCAAAGATCTCAGATTTCGGATTAGCTAAGCTGAGAAAGAAAGAGGATATGGTAACCATGTCTCGGAGGAGAGGGACGCCGGGTTACATGGCTCCGGAATGGATAACGACGGACCCAATCACCTCCAAGGCTGACGTGTACAGCTTTGGGATGGTGTTGCTGGAGCTGGTGAGTGGGGTCAGGAACTTTGAGATTCAAGGATCGTTGTTGAACAGTGATGAATGGTATTTTCCTGGGTGGGCTTTTGAGAAGATGTTCAAGGAGCTGAGGCCCGAAGACATTCTGGACCGTGAGATCAAGCAGTTATATGACAGCAGGGCCCATTTTGATATGATCAATAGGATGGTGAAGACTGCAATGTGGTGCCTTCAAGATAGGCCCGAGATGAGGCCCACCATGGGGAAAGTGGCTAAGATGTTGGAAGGCACGGTGGAGATTTCTGAGCCCAAGAAGCCCACTATCTTTTTCCTCGGAGATGAATAGCCCAGCCCATCTATTTGTGGCCGACAAGTTGTCGTTCCCTTTTCCTCTTGTCTTCTGTAGAATAAAATTCAGGCGTCATGCTACTCGCCTACACTGTTGTCAGATTCACGTCTTTTGTAAAATGTATTGGCGAGGAGATAGGTCCACAAATTAAATGTTTTTAATCTGATCAAATAGCCTGCTCAAAAAGTTGATGTATAGTTCGTCTATGACTTAGTAAGTTATCATTCTATGAATTGTTGCTCTTGCTCTGCATGTGTGTATTGGATTTGCTCGGGCAGCGACCGAGATGTTGTCATTACCACGTGAGATTCTTTTCTTGTCTCTCTTGCGTTTGTTTTTTTCGTCATGAGAAAGTATAAAGACATTGGCAGTTAAATTTATATTTTTTTAAATTTTTTAAAGAAAAATATTCAGATTTAAAAAAATTATAAAAAATACAAATCTACATCAATGCAAGATACTAAAGAATCTCTAGTTTTATGAAGAAACTAATGATTAAAAAGGAAAATAAATAAAATTAAGATGATGTTGTATTGCAAAAGGTACCGCGTGAGAAACTAGAGAGAAAAAGGAACTTCCGTTACAGTGGTGAATCATATCTCATCAAACGCTTAAAGATTCCAATGGATAAGAAGCTGCATATTGGATGGATAATGGATGCGCAACAACCAAATATTAAAATATTGGATTGCTCGGGGAAACTGGGTGCTAGGTAATGCAAAATACATTTGCATCTGCTGAGGGGTTCTGGAGTGGTCATCAAGCAGATTATGGAGGAGAAAGCTGATGAAGCAAGGCATGGGGTTCTGCTGCAATAGATCAGCAACTGGTGGAATAGAAATCGGCAGTTATGAGGTGTACTACATGTATTGACAAAGCAGCAGATGCACTTGCATATCTGAGTGTGGATCTGAAGATGGGCACTCATGTATGGAAGGATATGATACGAAAAGTCAGTCTTATGTCCGGCTGATAAATAGCGAATGAGTTTGTAGAGCTTGTGAGTTACTTTTGCTTTTCATGTTTTTTACTTTAGGCAATAGGCCTTATTACCAACATATATATCTATATATATATTGGATAGCTTCAAGATGGTATAGTGGCAGGCTTCAGATTGAAGAGAAAGTTCTCCACATAACTACAATGCAATATTTTTTGGCAAAAGCAAATGCGCTTTGCTTTCTCTTCTTGACGAGAAGCAGCTCAAAAATGATGAAGAGATTGTGATACTCAAGCTGTGTCTTTCAAAAAGTTTCGAGTAAAGAGTCACCAAGTCAGTTTCAACTTTCAGAGAATTGATGACATAATTAGTTACATAGCAGTGCACGGCTCAATGATAATACAGCTCACTTAATTACACCATATGCGGACATGATTGTCCTCTGTCACTTTATTTAGATGTGGACAGATTAAGGAAAGTTCAGATGGAAATGTGTAGCATTCATGAGTGAAGCTCTAGCTATGAAATAGGATTTGGTATTACAATCTGCAAAGGGCTTGCTGCCCAGACTGGAAATGTTTGTAAATGACTGAAACTAAACTTGATCTTATTCTTCATATATAATTGCTTCATAACCTGAAAGGCCGCAAGGAAGAGTCCCCATCAAGGCCCTTTGAGAAATAATGAATCAAAAATTCTTTTACACTTGTGTCCTTATATAATGGTTTGTTTTCTTCCGACAGCAATTCCTTGATTGGACCATAAACCTTTGTGCTACCTTCAGCCTTGTCATCGTAATTTATAAAGAAGCTTGCTATGGAAATCCTTGGGCCTGTTTGGCTTGCCAACACCCTATGAAATACACTGATGAATTTGTCGTTCGTAATAAGCTGCACCATTAACAATGATACTGATTAATGCACTCCTTGCAAATTCTGTCTTCCTTACTTATTTTGGATGTCAGAAGACATTGATATTTGGTGCAATAGCAGAAAAATACATGAACTTCTAAGCTTAGATGTGAGAAACGCCAGAACATAGAGAGCACACATCCTAGCATGCACAAGCATGTTTCTTTAATTTTCTGCAGAATTATGTAGATTCTGGTTAAAACATTGTAACACTAATTACCTGTAGAAGATCTCCAATGTTAATAACAAGAGCTCCATGCACGGGAGGAACATGGACCCATTGATTATTGTGAAGGACTTGAAGACCACCTAGCTGGTCTTGCAGAAGTATTGTCATGAAGTCAGCATCAGTATGCTTGGTAGTGCCCATAGTCAATTCAGGCTCTGGGCATGGTGGATAATAGTGACCAAGAAGAAAAGTTCCTTCAACGCAACCCAATTCATTGAGGTAAGAAGGATTAAGTCCAAGAGCCTCTGATAATAACTCAAAGATTGTATGACCCAATTCCCTTATTTTCTTTGAATATTCAACCGCAATGTCCCTGGAAGCACATGATAGTTTCATCAAGGATAAACTTTACAGGGTCCAAAAACAAGGGGCCGACCTCAATGTATTGTAAGTATGTAACAAATATGAATATTAAGAACACTGTAATGGCTTCTGAACAATAGTTTTTAAGTATAAGTACAATAGACTTTCAACAATAAACTGACTGTTCAAACATTCACTTGATTAACTGTGTTAATTAAACATAATTCGAACAAAGTTACTGATTTCGGACCAAACAAAATAAAATATAAACAGTTATTTATCCTATAATAGTCATATTCATACCAGAACCCATGAGAAACCCTTATAAAACTACTGCAAAAGCTAAAAATATGCAGGACTGATACCAAAATTTGTATCGCCACATTACCTGCAAATTTCTGGTATATCTTCTGGTTTTGCTGGACAGGGAGCCACCAGGAATCCAAGTGTATCCCTCCAGTCAGCAGGATTATTTGTGAACAGGTTAACATTGGAATAGTAGTTGACTTTTTTCTTCTTGTCTCGTGAGTAAAAATGCTTCCTTACCTCGGAATCTTGTTCATGAAACCTACGAACTCCATTGATAATCTCATCCAAAACATTATTTGGAATCCCATGATTGATTACCTGGAAAAAACCCCACTTCTGGCATGCACTTCCAATTTTCCCAACTGCTTCATTGCGTAGTGCTGAATTGCTGTGTATGCCTGCAAGGTCTACGATGGGAATAGTGAAGCTTGAGTCGTTTTCGGATCTCTCTCTGAGATTCAACTCGCCAGAATGAAACATACGTGGGACTTTCGTGACTCCGGATTCTAAAAGACCTTTCACTCCAGTTTTTGATTCGTCAAATGCTTTAACTTCAGCTTTCCTGTCATAATTGCAATCAGAAGCTGCGTCTAACTCACTTGATCTTGTGATCACCATGCTTGGTGCTTGCAAGAAAAAGTTATGGAGAAACCAGTTGTGACTGATTTCTTTGTTCCAAATCAGCCGATGGGATATAAAAGATTTTAATAATTGAAACAAGATAAGAAGCACGTTTTCTTCAGGGTCTGCTTTTTTGACGGAAGAGCCAAACGGTCACATGTTAATAAATGAATAAAGAATGTGCTAGGATTTAACTACTTAGCCTTATATGTACACTTTTATCTAATTAAATTAAAGTATGTATATTTTAATCGGTTGATAATATTAATAATATGAGTTTGTGATAAAATAAATAATATATAAAAAATTTACATATTTTAATTTAATTATAAATAAGTCTCTTAAATATAAATGATTAAATATATAATTTTTTTTTTAAATATAGAGAATAAGATAGTAGAATTTAATGGCACTAGAGTTTCCTGGTCTTTTCTGTCAGTGTAGGTCATAAGTTGGGAGCCACCCGAAAAAATAGGTTGACAAATTCAAGTTCTCTCTCTCTTTCCTGTGGATTAGTTTTTTAATATAAGTTTTTCTTGTGAATTTATCATTATAATATTGGGTTTATAAATTCAGCAAGCTCTTTCATCTTTGAACTTATGCCCAAGACATTTTCAGTTTGGCTTTCTTTCAAACTTTGGGATGCCCTTGCTGTCTGATTTAGACGTAAAACAAACCTAGTCATGTCATTTACTTTGAAGTTTATTTTTTAAAAAAAAAATGCCATTTAATTTGAAAGAATGGGATAATCAGCAAATAAATATTGACGTGTTGGATTGCTTGAAATGGTACTTTTCTTTTCTTTAACTTCTAGTCAATTTGAGATTGAGACAATTGTTTTTGTTTTCTAGCCAGAAAAAAAATAAAGCTCAAAATGATCAAATTTCAACTATATTTTAAGAAAATAACCGAGTTCCGCTTTTTTTATTTGTTAGCCACCTTTTTCTGTTTTGCTTTCTTGACTTTACTTTGGCTCTCCCACATGTAGAGGTTACGAGATAAACTTAGTACAGAGAGGAATGTTCATTAAAGTAAATTATCTCTCATTTTCCTTTCAACCGTTCCATAATCTCTTATAATGAAGAAAGTACACGATCATGTCGATTTTAAAATGTTCATTAAAATTAAAGATATTAATTAATCCGATCTTGATTCTTGAGCCTGAACTTTTATCTTTTGGAAGGAAGTAACAGTTAATAATCAAAAGTTCAATCCTCGTTGATGCCGGTTGGTTGATGCATTGTTCATAACTTCAAATCCATAGGAACTTAATGTGAAAATGTGATACAAATATAATTAGATCGTTAATAATCCTTCACTTAATAACTTCAACTTTTGAGATATAGAAGTTTTTTACACACACAGGAAGACGTTTCAGAAATATGAGATACAATAACAAGTAAAGTGGAAATCCATGAGAATCGGGAATGCACAGATCAGTGCTTCTTCTTGTCATAATTGCTTCATAACTTGAAGAATTGTAAAGAAGATTTTCCATCAAGGCCCCTCGAGATATTGTTTACCCAAAAATCTTTAATAGTAGTTCCCTTATATATTGCTGGGTTTTCTTCTGATAATAATTCCATAATTGGACCGTAAACCTTTGCTGCATTTTTTTCAGCTGTTTCACCGAGATTTATAAAGAAGCTTGCTATGGAAATTCTTGGGCCTATAGGCCTTGCTAAGACCCTGTGATACACACTGATCAACCTGTCATTTGTTATAATCTGCACAATGAACAAGGAAACTGATAAATATTACTCCTAAATCCTCACAAACTGTTTTGGTAGAGAAGCATATCAGCGATTCTACTGTTTGCTGGAAAAAAAAGAGGTCTCATTTTTAATTTTATTCATTACACTCTAGCCAATAATTGTCATTCTCTAAAACCATATGTTAACATCAAAAGCAAAGTAGAACAGCAATCCTAGGTCGTTTGTGTTAGAAGTTAATGCAAAATGTTCTTGATACGGTGCATGAATCTTGATGTAGAAATCAATCCCAAAATAAGGCCTTAGTCATAGCTTCTTGAAATATCGCACTTTTATTTTCTTGTGCTAGTGCTTCATCGTAATGACTCTAGAAATTTCTTTGAAGTACTATATATAAGCTATAGATGGACAAGGCTCTTCGTATCAGTCATATGACCAAAAATTGCCAATGATTAAAATATTATACTCTGCAGTAGTTTTTTTATTCTAGCTTTTATCGTACTTCTTATTTTTAGTAGATTTGAGCAACTAGATGAGAGCCAATTGATTCTAGCTTGTTTGCTTTGATATCAGACCAACTAAACGTTTAAGAATTGCAGACACCCCCTGATTAATGTGAACTGTTATACTTTTTCTTGGGATTCCATTGATACCTCCTTCGCGGTTATGACTATATATGGAGGACAAAGAGATTTTCAGAAGATTAAGTAAAGTGGATATGTACGTTAATAATTACCTGTAGAAGATCTCCAATGTTAACAACGAGAGCTCCATGCACGGGAGGAATATCAACCCATTGATTCTCATGAAGAACTTGAAGACCACCTATCTGGTCTTGCAGAAGGATTGTCATGAAATCAGAATCAGTGTGCTTGGTGACTCCCATAGTCAATTCAGGTTCTGGGCATTGTGGAAAATAGTGACCAAGAAGAAAAAGGCCTTCCCCACAAGCCAGTTCCTTAAGGTAAGAAGGATTAAGGCCAAGAGCCTCAGACATTAACTCAAAAATTGTATATCCCAATTCCCTTATTTTCTTTGAATATTCAATCACAATGTCCCTGCAGGAAGCCAGTAACAATCTCATCATGAACAGTACAAGGTTCAAATTGACCATATGCAATGTAATTGCAGAGTTGATCCTAGAACTTGCATAATCACATTACCTACACACTGCTGGTATTTCTTCTTCTTTTGCTGCGTCAGGAGCTACAAAAAGAGTATCCCTCCAGTTAGCAGGTCGGTCTTTGTTCATGTGAACATTGGAATAGTACCTAACTTTCTTCTTCAAATCCCTCGTGTAAAACTGCTTTCTTATCCCAGAATCTTGTTCATGAAACCGGCGAATTCCGTCGATCATCTCGTCCAAAAGATCATTTGGAATCCCATGATTTATCACCTGGAAAAAACCCCAATTCTGGCATGCACTTCCAATTTTCGCAACGGCTTCAATGTGTAGAGCCGAATCACGGTGTATGCCTCCGAGGTCAACGATGGGGATTGTGAGGTTCGAGTAATTTTCTGAGCTCTCTGTGTGGTTCAAGTTCCCAGAATGGAACATTTGTGGGATCCTTGTGAGCCCAGAATCTAGAAGACCTTTTACTCCAGCTTTTGTATCCTCAAACGCTTGAAATTCTGCGTTCCTATCATAAGTGGTTTCGCTTGAGCCTGTGTTCGCCATACTGCGAAACCCCGCACTTCCGGTTCAATTGAAAGGAAGAGAGAGGCAAATGAGTGATGAGGAAGAAGACGGAGTCAAATCATGGCCATCAATTAAGCATAGGATTTTTTAAAAACTGAGAAGAAAGTTACTAAAATACTAATAATAATAAATAAATTTATATACTTAATTTTATATTTTAAAATATTTTTATGTAATTAAATTAAAATATGTGAGTCTTTTATAAATTATTCTTTCTATAATAAATTTTTATTAATTAAAATAATATATTATAATTCACATGTCATGATTTAATTAAATATAAATATACTAAATATATAATATTAATTTCATAACTTTTGCCCTAATAATAATATGGACAGTCTTTTTTTCTCACATGCATACACACGAAAATTGACAATTACCCATTCAATTGATAAGGACTTTGGGGCTCTGGGCAGCCAAGATTGAAAAATAATCGGGTCTAGACAGAAATGCCTTTGGAAATTGTTCAAATCCATGCAACTTTCGAATGTTGGATTGATAATATATAGTTTTTATTTTAAAATTCAGATTACAAACCTTGATAATTTGTGTCAAGTATCAAGTTGTTCTTGATGATTTTGGAGTTTAACGGACATGAGAATAAGCAAATACTCTCCCATCCCCTTTTATCCATTTTAAGATATATAATATCTTTTTTATGAGAATGTTTGTACAATTTATTATATTTTCAACCCTGACAAATGATTGAATTATAGTAAAAAGAGTACTTGAAATTTTGTAAACCATTTTATTTGATTAAGAGTAAAATTGAAAATGAACTAACTTTAATGACTTTCTTGGTATCCATGACCATGAATTTCAATACTGAATCTTATAAGATGAACTGCATTTATTATAATCTGTAAAAAAATGCAGCTTATTATAGAATTTACATATATAATCAAGCTACCAGGCACTCTTCTTCCTCTCACGAGTTATTTTTGTGGACTGTGAATTTCTATTGTTGGGCTTCTTGTTTTTTTTTTCCTTGAATGATTCGTTTGATCTTAAACATTTGCCACATTTGCTTATAAAAAAAAATGCCACATTTTATTGTGAATAGTGAAAAAACTCTCACGGATGATATCAAACACGACTCATATCATGATTCATTCATATCAACATTGGCAGAAACAAACAAGCCAACCTACAGAGCTAGTTGTCTCAAGTTGTGGATAAAAGTCTGTCCCGTCTCCTAGTGCCGGCTCAGCCTCCATTTTTCTCTTTGATTCCTTTCTCATTTGCTCTCATCACACTGGGCACACCTCAACCCCCACTATATTGTTGTTGAAATTTATTGACACAAAATTATATGTTTAAAATTTAGAAAGTGAATTGTGATGTAATGTGAGAATTTTATGAATTCTAAAATGGAGTGTTTGAATTATTTTTCAAATTATCTAAATAATGAATTCATGATTTGAATTATAAATTTTTTTATTTGAAATTTAAGCGAAAAACTAAAAAGGAATGAAAGGCCAACTCTTATAAGGGTTATATTTTGTGAAATCTAACTTTTTTTAAAAAAAAAAGTGGGGGTAGAGCCCAAGTAAATAAATTAAACTAAGCTAGGGGATTTAAATCCCATACAATCCTTTACCATCAAACCCCTAAGAAACAATGGAACTGAATCAAAGAGAGAAGAGTTAGAGATTCTAGCCTTTGCCAAGGAGTTTGCCACCATATTTTGTTCACACAGAACAAAATTGACCACTACATTCTAACTAAATTTGAGTAAATTCTTGATTTCCAAAAAGACTAAGCTTCTACTAGACTGGAATTCATGGTGATCATTAATTGACTCTACCAAGTTTTTTGAGTCCGATTCAACAATGATTTTCCTATATCCCATATCCTAAGCCAACCGAAGAGTCTTCATAATAGCCCATTCTTCTGCTTCAAACGGGTTGCACTAACCAAAGGTCTTAGAAAAACCCATAATCCACACATTGTCACAATCCTTGAGCACTCCCCTACAACTAGCTCTGTTGGAGTTTAGAGTGACAGCACCATCAGTATTAAATTTCACCCACCCTTGTAGAGGGGGTTTCCATTTAATAGATAAACTAGCAATCTCATAAACATTAGATGAAGTGTCCTCATTCATGACAAAAAATTTCAAATTCTGAAAGATATTTGCTGTAGGATCAACAGGCTTTTGAAATCCCTTCTGAAAGGCAAAACAATTTTGCCACTTCCAAAGCTTCCAAAGTGTTACTCCACAAATGAGACTCTAGCTAGAAGGGAATTCCAAGAAAGACCCCTTAAGATTATGTTCAAACCAGTTTTTCAAATCCTAGTTGAAGAAAGTAACATGGTGTATGCTAGGCACCAATATGCACTAGATCTGTAATATCCTCTTCCTTCTAATTCCATAATTAAATCCCAAGTCCCAAATAATTATAAAATGGGATTATAATAATCATCAAAATATAAAATTTTCATTGATTAACAAAATGGGGACCTCAAGTTTATAAAACTAAAATTATTTTCAAGTCTTGCAATCAGGCAAATCAAAGTTCACAATTACACGAAAGCAAGGAATGATTGCATAAGTGAGTGCATTTATTTAAGAATTTGAAACAAAAGAAATTCTAAAAAATTTTGAGGCATGCACTGCAGCTCGTTGAACATGCACCGTGGTGTATTTGCCTCTGTGACACTCACCGTGGATCATAGCACCATGCACCGCGGCACAAATGCACAAATTTTGACAGTGAATTCTACTGTTAATTTTGACAGCATTAGGGCCAAATTTTAACGCACCCCAAATCTCTGTCCGACGTCTAAATGACGTGAACTAAGGGTCTATAAAAAGCTCTTTTCGAGCCCTAACTAGTAGCATTAGTCTCAGACTCAAATGCTTTTTAAAACATAATGTGGGCACCTTTTTCAAAACTTACACTTTTACAACAATTTTCACAATTTCAAGTGTCCAAACTAAATATCAAGGACCAATAGCCACCAACACCAATATGACCACATACAAATCATCAAGACCAACTCATGCAATGCACCATAACACTAGAAATATTTTTAGATCAAATTTTCACTACTCAACCTCTTAAACTCAAAAACATAGAAAGGGAGAGTTTGCCACAATTTTCACCAAGTTCTCCTAGATCATCACATAATATTCTCTACCCTTACTTGCATTAGTATTTTAGCCCTATTACCATAACATAATCATCAACTCTCTCCTTAGGGCCTAAAATACAATTACAATTTACATTTCACATAATACAAGTAAGTAACAAAAGAGAAATCCTAGTTGACAATCAAAATTGTCATACACATTAGTTTACCAAAATAAGGAGGCCTATTACAAAAGGGATCACGATCTTAAGCCTCTAGGTGTTTTTCTCTATCCACACCTCTTGAATTATTCCCTATAATATTAAAGATAATGAGATGAGTATAACTACTTAGTAACTAAGGTCCGACTAACCTATACTAATGCATATCAGTTAGTTTAAATGCAAGCAGTTAATATTAATACTTTAACCCATGTGAAACAATTGAAATTAGATAGTCGCAATTCCGCTCGCATAATAGCATTTACTTGAAAAACAATGCTTTTTAGTACTTTTCAAATAAAGAGAGTTGGTCACACAAATATTGACAAACATATTGGCAGAGATTAAGACTCAACTTAAGATGTCATCATTATAGACTCAATATAGACAACAAGTGCCTTTACTTACTATATGCATGATCACACCACCCTTATATCCTCTTTATTCCTTTGACACGAAACCGTGGGCTATTACTCAATGAGATAGTCTATATTCTTTGACTTCCCTAACCTAAACACTTGTGAGGGGATTACCTGGCCAAGGCACACCCAACCTACTTATGGATCACGGTTTTCCCATTTCTCATACCATAGGGTGTCATACACCCTAGACTAGCCTCCTCATTGAACGGACAGATAGCTAGCTAGGTTTAAATCTCTCATTGAACCAGTGGGATAGTTCATTATTAAACAAGTGGGACAATATGGATAGAATCAATTCAAGCAAACCATCACATAGATGGGCCTTACCATATGAATTTCATCATCTACTCCGCTTCCTAGGTGAACTCCCACCTCTCAAGATCATGCAATGTACATTCATACCATAACTCACATATATACAGTTTATAGAACTTCACTTTATCAATTTTCATTGAACTTCATCATTACACAATTATTGAACCTCTTAATTACATTTCATGGAACTTCAAACCAAACAAGTCGTTGAACTCCAATTTCACAATCATCGTACCTTACACTTTCAAAATCATTGAACTTCACTATTTTAAAACATCATTGAACTTCTCTTAAACAAAGATTTATGTTACTTTTTAATTTTCAAAATCATTGAACTCTCAATAAACATTAATATGAAAATCCACCACTATTGTTCTCAAGGATTTTTACATCACAAGGTATAAAACTCACAAATTTGATCTAGTAGATTTCCTAACAAATTAAGCCACACTTGCATTTCTTTTTATTTTATATATTTCAATGATAAATCATAAATTAATAAACTAATAAACACACAAAAGTATAAGATAGAATTTTTTCAGTTACCTCAAACCTTTGAGAGGTCAAAGGTTTTACCTCTCAACTACTCACTCCCAAAACTTTCAAGAAGTTTAAATGGTGCCAGTGGTAGTTACACTACAAGCATTTATCATACAAAACATCAATATCTATTTTTGAGCTATTTTTCACTAACATTTCATCATTTCTTAATACTCAAGATTTATTCTTGACTCATGTAAAAGTACCCATAAGACTTTCTAACTTCCTTTAACTCTCATTAATAACATTAAGCTCTTAAATGGGCATTAATGAAACAACATTATTCTTAACAACCAAATTTATGAGAATTTTAGACATTTAACGTCCTCTAACCATCAATCATCATAAAACCATAAATACTAAGTTTACTTAGCTCAAAATACTCCTATTAACTCTATTTAAGTCAATGGATTCAGACCCATAACTTTTATAAATCAAAAATCACCATTAGCAATCAAATCCTAACCTCTATCATAAA